CACTTCAGCTGTATGGGGAGGGGCTTGCATCAAGGAGAGGGTAGTGCGGCAACAGAATACTTTCATCACCATCTTTCTAGTTTCCAATATTAGTTCTTTGCTACTTGCTATTGAAATTGAAAATCGCTCAGTCATGTCTGATTCTTTGTGACCCCCGCCCCTCCCCATGGACTGTAGGCTGCCAGGCTCCTCTGTCCATGGAATTCTCCAGGTAAGAATACTGGAATGTGTAGCCATTTCCTTCTCTAGGGGATCTTCCCAAATCAGGCATCAAGCCCAGGTCTCCTGCATTTGCTACTGAACACCGAAGTAAATGCCACATATTTTAGGTTTTAATTATAGTAATACCCTATTTCAAGGTATTAATTTCCACTGTAGTCAGGATCATTAATACCGGATACTATAATAAATAAGTAGCTTAATGCTATATTTCTTGCTCTCATCATAGTCTTGTATCAGTTAACTAACTTTCCTCCACGTGATGGTTCGGGGATACAGGCTTCTTCCATCTTGGGATGACACCATACAACACATGGCCTCTAGTGAAGGTGGTATCATCCAGTGAAAGTGAAGAGGAGAGAAGTCACATTGGACTTTTAACTCCATTGTTAGAAGTGATTCCCAGTATTACTGTTTAACTTCTATTTGCCAGAAGTAGTCACATAGCTATCCTAAATGCGAAGACTGGAAAACGTGTAGGAACATGTGGATATTGCAAACACTAACACTTTCTGCCACATCTTATTATTTGGCCTCTCCTTCCCTATTCGACCATAATATGAGCTTCATAAGAGCAGGGATTTTGTCTGTTTCCTTCACTTCTGTATCCTTAACACTTAGAAGAATACCCGGCTTATAATAAATGGTTATTAAATACTTACTAATAAATATGTGAAAAGGAGAATCCAGGGCTTCTTACCATTACTAGTGAGTGAGAAATTGGAAGAAAATAATAAAGGATTCCAAGCAACCAAAATACATAGAATGAAATGTATGCAACTATATTATTCACTGAACCTGTTCCCTCCCACAAGCCATTTTAGACAAAATTCTATTACTCAGCCATAAAAAAGAACACGTTTGAGTCAGTTCTAATGAGGTGGATGAACCTAGAGCCTATTATACAGAGGGAAGTAAATCAGAAAGAGAAAAATAAATATCGTATACTAATGCATATATATGGAATCTAGAAAGTTGCTACTGATGAAATTATTTGCAGGGCAGCAATAGAGACACATAGAGAACAGACTTATGGACGTGGTGAGGGGGGAGGAATGAGAGGGTGGGATGTGTGGAGAGAGTAACATGGAACTTACATTATCACATGTGAAATAGATGGCCAGTGGGAATGCTGTGTGTCTAAGGGAATTCAAACTGGGGCTGGGTAACAACCTAGAGGGGTGGGATGGGGAGGGAGGTGGGAGGGATGTTCAAGTGGGAGGGGACTTGGGTAAACCTATGGCTGATTCATGCTGATGTATGGCAGAAACCAACACAATTCTGTGAAGCAATTATCCTTCAATAAAAAAATAAATCAATTTAAAGTAAAAAAGAATGTTTATATAGCTATCAATTCCATATCAGACCATAAACAGGAACTTAAAATGAGATAAGAAAGATTATCAAGGAAAGAAAAGGTGGTAAGTGGAAAAAATATGGGGTTCAAAGGAAAAAGTTACCTTTAAACTACAATAAAAACGATAGTAGCCTAAGGCTATTCAGTGCAGAGGCAAAAACATCTATACCTACACAGGTCCCAAGGGTATCACTGAATCATAGCAAAGTAAATAAATCAAAGCCACTATGATGACTCAATTTGGTTTGGTATATTAATACATTCTTTAAAAAGACAAAATTTTTTTTTAAAAGACAGAAAAATTATAATACATTTAAGAGAGCTTTTTTTTTTCCCATTCAAATGGACATTTTCCAGTCATGCCCTAAATTCCCTAGCTGTAACTAGTCTTTCATTCTTCTATAATGGTTGATAGATGATGGTAATGGCTGTCTCGACTATTTTTGTGCTTAATTTGTTATTTCTTCTATTGGAAGCTCCCACTCCCTGAATGCTACACTGATTAGACTGCACTCAAGTACCAGGTTCATTAGGGGATAGATCCACATTTTGTGAAGTCTGAAGATTACACATTCCAAAGGCTTTTTTAAGAAAACAAAACAAAACAAAACCCACTAGTATGAAACAAGGTTCAAAAAATATTTATTCAGAATAAAAATCACAACAAATTACAAATTAAAAAAATTACATGCAACAGACATCACCAAATTCAGAAAAATATCATGATGTTTTAAATTAATTGCCTAGCATACCTTTATAATACTTTACCCTACATATCTTGACTGTATACTCTTTTTTCTTCTTCATATGAAAATGATTTTGTCACATTTTGTTCTATAGACTTAAAAGATAGTTCAGTCTTTTCACTAGCAGAGTTGATTGAAATTTATTTTTTTATTATTGGTAGTTTAGAAGAGCTTCTTTCCAGTCAACAACTCATTATTGGGAAAGTCACATTCATTTTTAAGACAGTGAACAAATTTGGGAAAATCTCTATCAAATTTGTTTAACATATACAGAATAAGATGTGGGAAGATTTTCCAATTCTAGTTCTGGATCCATACATTTCAAACATCATCTACTCCATCAACTGCATGCTTCTGTGCTGGGCCCCAAAGCATCGATTTGCTGATTGGTCTCTGGCCATCCACCTTCCTGTCACAGTACCAAGGAAGCCAGGTGACGGCAGCAGGCCTTTGAACGGCCAGAATAGATGCTACTGTTACAATGGGTTGTAATGCCCATGAACCACATAAACTTATTCCAGTTAATTAACTTAACTTCCCCTTAGCCAGGGGGCTTCCCTGGTAGCTCAGTTGGTAAAGAATCTGCCTGCAATGCAGGAGACCCCAGTTTGACTCCTGTGTGGGGAAGATCCCGTGGAGAAGGGATAGGCTACCCATTCCAGTATTATTGGACTTCCCTGTGGCTCAGCTGATAAAGAATCCGCCTGCAATGCGGGAGACCTGGGTTTGATCCCTGGGTTGGGAAGATCCCCTGGAGAAGGGAAAGGCTACCCACTCCAGTATTCTGACCTGGAGAATTCCATGGACCAGTCCACGGGGGTAACAAAGAGTTGGACACAACTGAACGACTTTCACTTTTCCCCTTAGCCAGATCTCCAAAATGCTTGCCATCACTTCAGTGCTGTTGGACACAAGGAAAATTTTGACCGAAGGGAAGTTAGAATAAAAAGACAGCAATCTTTTGAGATAAAAATACTCTACATTTGAAATAGACAGAAACATAATAGCGAGGGAACATACTTCTAGGATCCCTCTTGTGCTAGAAGAGGCTCGAAGTTAAGTTTGTTTCCTGGCATCTGCCTTCAGGTTTCGATTTGAACGTTATGCTTCAGGAGGAGTGCTCAAACCTGAGTAAATTCATTGAAAGGAGGTAACGAAGGATGGTGAAGAGTCAGGACACCTTGCCTTATGATAAGCAGCTGTGGCAGCTAGAGGTCACATAAAAATCTTGGAATAGACAATTCAAGTGGTTTCCGAGTCTGTCTTTAGTCCTTGTAGTTTTGTTGAGGTATTTCAACTCAATATAAGGAATCACTACCTAATATTAGGCCAATTTCAACACAGAATTGACCAACCTGTGAAAAAATGAGCTCAAGAAGAGGTTAAATGAGAACCAGTCAGAAATCCTCTGAAGGGGAGACCCCAGTTTGGGGCTGGTGATAAGGATAGGGAGTGTGGTATGAAAGAAACTAACCTTTACACACTTTTGCAAATCTGAGATTTTAGGATGACTTTGCTATTAATTCTGTTTGAAGCCTCAGCCTCAAGTTTAATGCCTGACATATAGAGAGTTTTAAAAATAGATGGGACTGCTTTTAAGGTCAGAGAAAAACGTTTTGGCTTTTTTTTTTTAAACTAAGGGCAGCAAGAATGATCCATTTTAGCTCTTTTTATGTTTTTTTTTGTTTAAAGTTTGATTGTAAGATGGTGGTTAATTAATACAGGAGGTTAAAGGTTGCAGGTATGTGATGGCTGGGTATAGAGCAAGTTATACAAAGAGAACATCATGTGGGATCCTTTGGGATTCCTATTCTTCCAGTAGGTACAATAGGAACTTGTTTCTTTTGTGGTGTATGTGTGGGGTTGTCAATTCTTTGGAGGAGCCCAGCAGTGATGTGTGTGATGGGTAGATCCAGAGGAACAATGAGTCAGGGCTTTTTGTGACCCCTGACAGAACACAACTGAAACTGCCTTGAGGAAATGGGGGTGGGGGGGGCGGTAATTGCTTTCAGGGGTAGAGTTCACTCAGACGTATTTGCCTCCTAACTCTCAAAAGATATCATCCCCTCCACCACAGGTTTCCTTCCTTAAAGTTGACTTCGTCCACGTGCACTGGTGGTACTTACATCTACATTTGGTGGCTTATATCCTTCTAAATTAGTTATCCTAATTGGAAGGACTTCTTTTTCTGAACTGATTCAGCAAAAGTTCCAGATTGAATTCCTGGACCAATATGCCCATTGCAGAACCAATCACTGTGGTCTGGAATATGATGACTGGCCAGTTGTGGGGCGTGAGCGTGGGAGGTGTCAGTATTCTGGAACCACCACAAAGACTCCTGGGCCGCGGTGGGGGTGGGGGGGACGGGGGGAGGGAAATGAATAGCTGTTATCAGAGAAGGGGAAGAAATGGATAATACTGAAAGTACACACTCAAACCCCCCCCCCCCAATAAAGATATCAGTTATTTGGGGGAAAAATGTTTTGGGATTTCCTCCACATGCTTGTAGTTTAACTGTAAAATCGTGCAAATCTTTCCCTTATCTGGATAGATATCATGCGTGGGGGATAATCGTCTTAACATTTCCGCGTTTTTATTCTTTCCTTTAAGTGGGACTGAGCCAATGAAGACGCTGCAAAAAAAGTAAACAGAAAGCTTGAAGTATTAATACAGTAATTTTAAATTTGAGTGCCCTCTTTAGGCACAGTAGCTGGGAGTGCTTTCATCAATCCATTTTTAATCGTGACCACACCCCGTGTAGGTGACATGAGTATTACCGTCTTGCCCTTGCGGTTGGGGAAATCGAGGCATGACACTCCTCCATTCAGCCTTCCGGGGGCATTTCGAAAGAGTCCAGCCTGCCTGATATCAGAGGGTCTCCTTCTTCCTCCGCGGCGCCTCTCGGAGCTCTCATGTCCTTCGGCGTCGCAGAAGGAGAGCAGCTCAGGCTCCGCCGCAGCCTCGGGATTCGTCCTTCTCCCGGCTGCACCCGCCCCGCTCTCCCGCACCTTCCCCGGGAACGTCCAGCTGGACAAGGTCTGGAGTCTCTTCCGTCCTCTCCCCTCACCCCTTCCTCTGGTCCACGACGTGCAGGAAGCCCCCAGCCCAGCGCCCTGCAGGGAGATGCGGGCACATGTCGCCCAGGCGTCCCGCGGGAGGGGCGCCGGCGCCGCCGGAGGTGAGAGGCCCGCACCCGTCGCCCCCCCGAGGGCCCGGCGCCGGGGCAGGGAAGGGCACGGGGCACGCCGCGCCCGAGGAAGGTGGCGGCGCGAGGGAGGCTGGGCGAGCCCGCCGGGAACGGCGAGAGGGGGCCACGCGGGCGGGCCGGCGCGCGGCTCGCGGGCGACGCCTGGAGAGCGAGCGGCGGGGAGCCGGCCGCTGCCGGGCCGCTCGGGGACGCGCCGCGCCCGAGCCGCGGAGCTCGGCGGCGAACCGCCCCGGGACGCCAGGACCCCCGGGCGCCCGCCCGAGCGCGGCCGGAAGACATGGCTTCGCGCGTCCCCGCCGCCGCTGACTCGACAGAATCGGCGGGCCGCGCGGGGGGCGCGGCGTAACCCGGGGGTGGGCGGTGGCGCGGAGCCGCCCGGGGAGCTCTGGGCGTCGTTGGGAGCGAAGGAGGATGCCAACACAAAGGCAAGCCGAGATCCAGCCCGCTGCGGAGGGCGGCGGGAAGAGCCGCTGAGGGGCGCGCCGGGCGCGCTCGGCTCCGCGCTGCGTCTCTCGTCGCTGCCGCGGGTCGCCGGGTCGGAGACGGCCGCGCAGGGTCCCTCGGTCCCGTGGTAGCGGCCGCCGCAGCCGGGAGCTGCATGCGACGCGCGGCGGCGCCCGCGGCCGCCTGCTTTCCCCGCGGCGCGCGCGGACCGGCCGGAGGGCGCCGGGGCCGCGGGTCCGGGCATCTGCCGGGGCGCCCAGCCGCCCGGCGGCCCCATCCCCACCCGCAGCCGGCGGCGGGCGGCGCCGAGCTCCAGGTGAGTGCGCGGCCCTCGCCTGGCCCTTGCTCCGCAAGCCGGACGACGGGAGGTGGCTTTGTTTTCCTCCCTTGCGCCCCGGCGCGGTCATTCATTTGACATTTCGGCTTCCGCTGCCCGGAGACGCGGGTGAGAGGCACCGGGACGTGTTTCAAGGTTTGATTCTCCGGGGAGCTGAGACTTTTGGGTCCATCTGAGCATCTCTTGAGGGAGCAGAGGCTTCATTTCCTTTTGGTTTGGGATGTGTTGTGAACATCCTCAGCCGCGGCTTGGGGCCTGGAGGAAACTGGGGCTGCAGATTTAGACGTAGCCGTTTTGGAGGACGTGCAACTGCAGAGGTCTGGCTCTTACATGCCTTGTGTTTTTCTCTATTAGCAGAGCTCAGGTGTTTCCCCCTTGATTATCATTATTAATGTAGGAACATCTTTGCGGGCACATTTGTTTGTTTTAGAGTTGGAAGTCTTTGGAGACAATACGGAGCTCACAGTTATAGGGGATCAAGCGCTGTTGAACTTGGAGAAGGCAGGCATCGGCAAGCGTCACGGGCAGGGGGTAGAGGTCGACCTTAGGCAAACTTATCGGTGCCTTTAGCCTTCCCAGTACGATTTCTGTTTTCACTGTCTTGGAGTCAAGCGAACTGAATTCTCATTGCAAGTATCCCTTTTTCAAAGTGTGAAGCTTGTCTGTTTAAAGAATTGTTTTCTATAGTTTGTAATTTGGAAGAAAAAGATTTAAACGTAATTAGTAGAGTGAACCCGGTGAAATTTCATGTTTTCGTATTGTCTTATAAGTATGATTTTCATTTTACTATTTCTCCTATTCCCTCAAGGGCTCATTTCTTCTGTTGCCTAGCGAGAGCTCCACTGCACCCTCCCCACCTCCCCCGCCCCCAACAGATGGCTGTATGTTCTGAGATGTTATCTTTAAAATGACACTCACATTACCTATAAACAAGGAAGGATCAGTTGTTAGGCTTATCCTTGGAGTTATTAAAGCAAGAACCCTAATCTGGATGGGGATGCTATTGATGGTGTGAAAATCTGGAGTTTGCTAATCTGTTTGGGCATCAGAAGATTCCTGCAGGGATTGTTTATATAGTGTGGGAGACAGATGGCATTCCCAGCAGACAAGAGAAGCCCAGCATAAAGAGTCATTGTATTCGTCAGAAATTATCCACTTCCCTGTTGGGAGATGGGGTACAGTGGGGAAGACATAGTTTTCATCTCCCAAAGAAGACAGTATAACCGTTTCATCCAGCAGCTTGACTAGTGAGTTTCTTCTTTTTTTGAACATTTAAAAAGTCATTTTTGAGCTGTTTGTTTTGATTATTCCTTTGGCACATTTTGGCCTCAGTTTTTGTTATGTGAAGCAGTTTAAACAGTTATGTTAACAAAAATGTCTTTGAATTTAAGATTATCATACTGCTGGGAAAAACAGTAGTTCTTGAGTACAAATGGCCCCTTGCACTTACAGTGTCCCTTTCCCGGAAGGACTTTAGTCCAACCTGCATGAATTCAAAAGGAATTTTTTCTACTACCTCCATGACAGGTGGTTTCATGACGGCCAGCATTTATCCCCAGACTCTCAGCTGTGGGTACTACTCTACTTTTATAAGACTTAACAGCCTCAGACTGTTGGGTCATCAGTCTTTTGCTCAGTCCCCTACACTTAGCAAAAGCCTAAGATTTTTGCTTTAGCAGTGCGCTCTATCACAGCATTGAACAGCCTTGGGCAGTGAAGTTTTCTGAGTGACTGTGGAGTCCGTGAAGAAGTTCTGAAGTCATTCTGAACATTTGTGATAAGCCATCTGGAGCATCTCTGCTCCTACCACCATTATAGATTCTTTACGGACTGTAGATTCCAGCTAGATTGCAAAATTGGTCTGCCCTTTGTGTGCAAGTGAGGGAAAATATTCCAATAAATTCATAGTCACTAGCCACAGGACTAAATTTTATGAAGAACATGAGCAATGTTTGACCCCTTGAAACAGGAAGTGTGGGGTAAAAGTAAGCATTGGCTCTGCTTAGCTTGGAAACTGTGATCTTGGGGAAAAATAATATTTCCTTACTTTTTTCCAAATCCTTCTACACCACTGATTTCAGTAAAAGGCAAAGAAACTAAGGTTGTTACCTGCAGCTGAGGACAGATACCCTAGCTATTTCTTCTGGATGAATGTGTGTTGCGGAAGAGGTGGCTTTTGGGCTCTGTCCAGTTTCAGCATGTGCCTTGGCATCAAGAAAAGGGTCTAACATTCAAATCCCGATTGTTAAATGTGCGGCTGGTATCTGTGTACCTTCTCAGTAGGCTGCTTCCTCTCTTGTGAAGTGTTCCTTTATGAGAAACCCAAGGCACCAGGCCGGGGCTTTGCCGGGCACCTGGCCGGCATCCACATTTTTGTGTGTTACTGCCTCCTTTCCTGAGTGAAAATGGAACCAGTCTTACACAAAAAGGGAATGCAGAGTGGAGTGAAAACCCTTCCAGCTCCATTGTGGAAAGGCAGGCCTGGCCTGGACTGCAATTGAAGTGTACGTGGCTGACATAGCAGAGGCAGACTTACCTCCTTACACACAGGATGGCTTTTGTGTGGGAAATGAATGAGAGATTAGAAGTGTGACCACACCTTCTCGTTGGCTTATTCCTATTGCCCTGTCTGAATCACCAAATGCATCCCCTTTCACATTTAAAAGTGGCCTGGTTTGGATGATAAATTGTATGGTCACCCTGGATTTTTAGGAATCTTCACTGTTTTCTTCACCACCCTCTTCTGACTTCAGATTTTGAGTCTGGCTTTATTTCAGTCTTTAATTTGTTAAATGCAAAGATAAAAAAGGTTAAGAAAAAAAACAACTTAAACCAAAAAATGCTTAAAGAAAAAAAGAAATAATAAAGAAGATGAAAGAATGAGGTATTTGGTGGCTTGTCATCTGTTTACACATACAAGAAATAGAAGTTTTATGCTTGAGGTGTTAAGTCTCTACTTTGCCTCTAAGCCCATGTTATTATTGTCTTCAAGCACAATGAGAATTAATACCTGTTTGTATAGGGCTGACACGAATTGGGACAACTCCTATGATTCGGGAGAGCAGCTTCAACAAAACCTGCTTACAGACCTAATGGCTGCTTGGCTTTTGCAGATTGGAATGTAAGTTTCAAGGGCGTCCCAGGTGGCGTTAATGGTAAAGAACCCGCCTGCCAATGCAGCAGACTTAAGAGACTCGGCTTCTAGCCCAGGGTTGGGAAGATCCCCTGATGGGGGGCATAGCTACCTACTCCACTATTCTTGCCTGGAGAATCGCATGGAAAGAGGAGCTTGGTGGGCTACAGTCTGTACGATCACAGAGCTGGACATGACTGAAACGACTTAGCACGTATGCAAATTTCAAGATCTGGTGTTTGGTCAAGTTCTTGGAATTCACTGAGAAACCAAAACACATGTGTCGTTGTGAAGACCTGACTCCACATTCTCCTAGTTTCCAAGCCCTCTGGGCCATGAGGATAATAGAAGAGCCTTTGTTTTCTGCCCTCTCTTCTGACAAGAGTCTTGGGTTTGGGTCTCAGCTTTTCAGACAAAGGGCTTGCAGAGAAGAATGTGGTGTGCCCGCTTACCACATGAACACGCTCACAGGACTGGAGATTGTGCAGGTGACCGGATGGGGGTTTGAGTTCGAACACTAGATACATGGAGCTTGTGGCATGGACTTTTACAACAATGGCTGTGCTTCTTTGTTAAAGAATTGCCTGTTTGAAAGAGTCCGCTCGCAGTGTTGGCCAGTAGGTGTTACAAATAATTACGGCTGTCACTTTTTCCACACCCACTCCATTGAAATCCTCAAAAGCTTGGTCAGCATGCTTGAATAAGAAGAAATGTATGTATCTTCTTTATAATTAGGATGACTGTATAGTTATTTTTGTTCAGACAAGGACACTCTTGAGAGTAAAGTGAAAAGTGAAGTTGCCCAGTTGTGTCTGACTCTTTGCGACCCCATGGACTATAGCCTGCCAGGTTCCTCTGTCCATGGGATTTTCCAGGCAAGAATACTAGAGTGGGTTGCCATTTCTTTCTCCAGGGGATCTTCCCAGCCCAGGGATTGAACCTGGGTCTCCCACACTGCAGGCAGAGTCTTCACTGTCTGAGCTACCAGGAAAGCCCCTTGAGAATAAAAATAGGTACTACCTGGAAGGGGCACCGTATCAAAGAGTTTATACTGTTGTAGCAGGAAAGTTATGTTGGATGGTTGTCTTAACTATTACCTAAGTCATTAGCTTTTCTATGAAGAATACCAATATGACAGAAGAATGTCCTTAACTTCTTCTAGATTTGTTCAACATATGTTTAATGTGTGCATGCGTATACATATATGTGTATATACACAGACATTGATCATATATCTGTAGATATGTGTATTGTGGGATTGAAATTAACTGCTTAAGAAGACTTAGTCATTTGGAAAATTGTGACTTTCATCATTTCTTTCATAGATTGACTTTTAAACTAAAAAAAAAAAAAAAGTCCAGCCTCTCCAAACTTTAAGTCATCTTCTGACCTTGTGTAGTTCTCTTGCTTAAATCATTTGATGGTTCTCCATTTTCTGTTTAATTCTCAAGTAAGATCCACAGACAGATTGGTGGTTAGAGAGGAAAAGCCATGAAAAAATTTTACTTACTCCCTCATTCATTTATTCATTCAACTATTAGTACTATTTATTGAGCACCTTCCTTGAATCTAGATGCTGAATGAATAAAACAAAGATCCCTGCCCTTATGAAGTTTTCATTTTATTGAGAGTGAAGAGGTGGGAGTGGGAGATGCACAATAAGCCAAATAAATAAGTGAATTATATAGCATTCTAGAAGGAGGTAATGCTTTGGAAGAAAGTAGAATAGATAAATTAGTTGAATAGCCTTCATGAAGAAACCTTCAGCAAAGACTTGAAGGAAGTGAAAGAAGTGGCTCATACAGAT